ACTGTGTAGGTAAATCTGTGAGAAATTTGCCGCGGTCATGATCACGCCGAATTCCGCTACGAAGTTCGTTTTGTGTTCATGGTCACAAATTTCTCTTATATGTGTAGCCGTGTTGGGGTACGAAAGAGCCAAGTGATTTAGGAAGGATGAGGGAGTTCAGGGAGACGAGGAGCGTCGAGAAAATAGAGCACGGAGTCGGGATGCGACTGAAGGAGAGCGAAAGGAGAGAGAGACGAAAAGAGGAGAAGAGAGAAGGAAAGAGAGAGAAGAGAGAGAGAGGCTGAGAGGGAGAAGAGAGAGAGAGAGAGAGAGAGAAGAGAAAGAGAAGAGAGAGAGAGGAGAGCAGAGGGTCGAGTGAGTCAGATCGAGCAGTGAAGCTCGAGAGTGGTAAATGAGGAGGAAGCGATAGAGAAAGAGAGGGTGAGAGAGAAATGAAGACAGGCAGACAGAAATCCTCTTGCTATCCCATCTCCCACACGAGGGAATACCGACCACCGCGTAATCCCCGAAATAAAAATCATCGATCGTGTTGTTTTTTCTCCAACTGCTATCCGTGCCCTGATTATGTATACTTGGGTTACGCATATAGATACATGATCTTGCACATGAACTAATTCGATTTACACTGTGTGCTATGACCATATATAATTTTATATACTTACGGTTCAGTCGCTGTGCACAGTCAAATATTGTTTATTACAATTACTTATTCATTTATTGCGTGCGTATGTGCGTTTACTACGTGCGTATGAACGAGGTTGTGTGCGTCTCTGGCTCGCTGAAAACGAAATGCAACCGCGCACCTTGGCGATTCGCAGGCAGGTAGCCAGTAAGTGACCGCTACTACCGGTGAATATCATTATTTAAATCTAGTGATAACTAAAGCGCTAGACCGAGCTGAAACCTGCTCAGGTCGCGTTATCACATAAGTTCGACCGGTCTCTGTCGTCCGCCTGCCAGAAAAAAATGTAAAACCAGTATCAACTAAATTTCGACTCAGATGCTGTTAGCGGAGAGCGAATAGCGTGTGAGTCCGCTAGATTCCTCGCCGGACTAGCACTATAACGCAGCTTGTAAAAATCCCGGTTGGCTCATACAACCATCACCACCACTGTTTTAGACGATAAGAAGTTGCACCTGCACCTAGGGTATCACCAATTTCGAATCCATGTAAACATTTGACGAAGCTATCGGGGATTGCCGTCTGACAAATTATGCGTTGATTTGCGACAGGTTTCGTTGCGACGCGCTTTCGGTGGACGTCATATTACATCACGATGCGAAATTAGTATTCCTGCAGCGTTCTGACTGAGTGCAGTGCAGCTGCCGATATGCAGAGTACGATCATCCCGGGGCGTGCCTAATGAATAGACCAAACCGTCACCATGCGACGATATGTATTACTGGTTCGATATGTATTACTGGTTCGATAGAGAGCAATATTGTAAACTGAGGCAGCTGCAGTGAGCGTGTGTGTGTGTGTGTGTGTGTGTGTGTGTGTGTGTGTGTGTGTGCGTGCGTGCGTGCGTGCGTGCGTGCGTAGTGCGTGCGTGCGTG